TTCGAGCGACTTCGAGGGATTTAATACAGCAAAAGCGACTGATTCTTGAAAAGGCGGTGCAACGATTTTAGCACGTTGGCCAATTAACTGCGGGAATTAATCTGTGTCACGTGTGAACCGAAGTTCAGAAAACCATTTTTCTGGCGCGCGCCAGATTTTATTTAAAAAGAAATTATATAAACCTGGTTTCTCATTGGGGGCTGTCTTCAGATCTCCCAGCCACTTTCTCCGCGATTGTCGACTTTTCAAGAATTAGCGTCGCCGGGAGTCACGGCGAGCGATCGACACAAAAGACGGTTTGCCAGGTGTTTGATGGATTGAGGGCCCGTACCGTGAGGACAGGGTGTAGCGAGCCAGGATACGACCGACACGTTTCAGAACACAACAGAGGAATGCATTTAATCAAGCGACAACAAGTAAGTACAGCGAGAGGGGGCGCCACAGGAATGCGGCAGACTATTTACAAAGTCAATAGGTGGCGACCTCTACACCAGGGGGTTGACAGCGAGTGTAGCAGTGGAGGAGGATAGGTTTTGTTGACCTATTCCGCATGTCCCCCTGTGACGCACCACCGTAGTTCTCGTAACCCCCACAGGCGACTGCAGATCGACAATTATTTTGTTTTTAGCTTTTGCAGCAGACTAGTAATTTTTCTGGAAAACGTGGTGCGTTTTTATTTATCTTTTTTTTTCACTGTGCCTGGGCAAACATTACAAGAAATACAAGCTGAAAATTTGTTCAACGTTAAAATCGTTTCACTGCCCCTTTAAAGGGGTACTCCGGCGATTTTTGTATAGTCCCCGAGTTGTCTGAAAACATAGCTGAAAAAGTCACCCAAATATTGGGCCGAAATAATTCTTGCGATGTTATTGAATTTACAATTTTTGGTCCTCGCCGTGTTTTTCAAGGTGAAAGTCTATACGGGAAACCATGAAAAACTGACGTCAGCGGAAGGTAGGGGTTCACTCTTTTTCTTGTTTATTTATTTATTTATAATACTATCGGTCCTATACAGTACCAAGATAGGAGTGGTATTACACAATAACATGGAATCATGCGCACAAACTACACATATCAGCAAAAGTACAATGCAGCGGTGAATCAATCTAGGTACTGTTGGCAGAAATGTCCGATAAGTGAACTAAATTCATCCCAACTTTTAGCAGTCACGACATGTGCTGGGAGCTTGTTCCATTTTCGCGCTGTTTTTTTTTAGAAAAAGGAAGACTTGAAACAATCCTTAAAACAATTTTGCTCTTCCACATATCTATTGTGCTTATTGCGGGTTATACGCGACACGCTGTCATTTATTTACTTTGGTTTATTTCCAGGAACGAGGTATTATGCTGTAAAAATATTCAGACGTTTATTTTTCGTTCTTATGTTAAGGACTGTGAACTTTGTTCCCAACCGATTACAAGCAGTCTCATTGTGTCAAATAAATGCTTTGGAAGCTCGCTTCAGCACCCGCGCAGCAGCACAAACAAGTGGAAATGAGCAGAACGTAAGGGCGCAAGTAAGCTGGTGTATATTAAACATTTTAGTGAAAAACCCGAGACTGCGGTAATTACAGAGTACGACAAGGAAGAGAAGGATAACGTCTCAAACACAGCTGTGTTTGAGACGTTCTCCTTCTCTTCCTTGTCGTACTCTGTCATTACCGCAGTCTCGGGTTTTTCACTAAAATGTTTAACAAACAAGTGCTCGCAATATTTCATTTCTAGGCAGCCCACTCGACCTGCCAGCGTGCCTTCCACTGGCTGAGATTGCATGGATGCGACCATAGCGAATCGAATCGGAATTTGAAGCCTGTGATGAAGTAGAAAAGGAAGAGAAAGGAGGATCGGGGGCGCGTAGTTGAGCACCTCTCGATTCAATGCGCTACGGTTGCACCCATGTAAACGCAGCCACTGACATCTCGGCACTGAAAAGCGCGGGTATACTTGAATGTTGATTTTGACACAGTTTTCACTTGCCAATTTCACAATAACTGTTCTCAATTTCGCGATACTGAGTAGCATACCAGAAAGGGTAAAGTAGCGTCTTCCCCTGATTGACTGCTGCCAAAAAATTGATGTTCTCCGGCCTCATCCGGGTGCGGCTGGGATTAACATGTTGAATTTTCAGCCGGAATTGCGGGACCCGGAAAATGTTACCGTGCACGCCACAGGCACGTCACTTCTCTTCCGGGAGACATTTTAAGGGCTGGTTTGGACCGGCCTTAAAGAGCGGTCTAAGCCGCTCTTTAAGAGGAGTGACGTCAACGGTGACGTTTTCAGGGTCCCTCATTTCGGTTGAAAGTTCAATAGGGAGTTTTCGTAGACCGTTTTCCCTATTGCGCTATGTTCTCCACAACGAAGACGACGCTAGTGCGCATGTGCGTCGCTGGCCTTGACTGCAGAGTTCCGGATCTCGTAGTGGGTTGCGGAGGGCGTTAAGGGACGGAAGGAACGATCTTCAAAAACTCCCTAGAATATCATTCTTCTCAGCCGCACCCGCACGAAGCCGGAGAACGGTGGATTTTCGCAGTAGCCAATTTGGGGAAGGCGGACCACCCTACTCACCAATGTTTCGCGGGAGCAGGGTGGGGTGGGGGAATGGAGAGAGTGTTCTTGGGGGGGGGGGGGGGGGGGGGGGGGGGGTTCGCTTTTCGGGAGCCCTTAAGGGCAAAGTGCAATAACGTTATTACTTTCGTTGTATTTTCCCTCTCGAAATCACTGAAAAATCTCACAAAGGGTTTCTTTTCTCCCTCTCCCGCCCGTGGAGACTAGTGTGTGTTTTTCCGTTCCCCGCTCAACCCACCCGTCACCGCCGCGCTGGCTGTCTCTTCCCTGCTCAACCTGCCCTGATGGTTCCGCACATATTCCTTCAAATCCAACCTGTAAATGTTATAAAAAAAAAAGTTTTGTTTTTTGCATTATTTCGGGCGACGTTTTGCGGCCCGGTTTCTCGGTTTCTGGACCCGCAATCCGGCTTCGGTTTGGACATTTCTTTACAAACATTTTGTGAAAGTCCCCAAGAAGTACCTTCGCGAACCATTCCACTCGGAGGCTTCCAGAAGGTACAGTTTCAAAGACACACGGATGCACTGTCGTGGACACAGCTAGCTATAACGTCGGCATGCGCCCTGGCGTCCGTCTGCTTCGCGCCTAACAAACGCCAAGTGGCGATACGGGAAAAACAACCAATCCCCGAGAAAAATCACAAAGATTGATTCCTAAGTTTCTCTCTCTCTTTTTTAGAGAGCGTGTAACTCTAGGAGTGTGGAATGGCACTGCCACGTCGGTAGCTCAGACAATGTCGACATTCCCAAAGAAATATTCACATCGGGGAGACATCCCTCCCTTTGTTCCCCGAGATGCGCATCACGTGATTACAGCGTCACGCTTTTTGCGCAGGGCCGCACTGACGTAGACATCTCAGGGGGGGATGGGGGAGCATTTGCTCGGGCTGCCCTTCGTCCTTATCGTGGGCTCTATTTGCAATTGGCGGTATTTTATTCGCGTGTCTGGCAACTTTACTGATTTTGCTGAGCGAGATACTGGCGGTGGCCGCGGGATCGCCTAAAGGCGCGTTCATACAGGCGACTAGCGACTGTCGCGAGAGTGACTAGAGACATGCGACGAGGTATACGGCCGACGTTTACGCTGCGGGCGATCGGCGGGTCGCTACCGGCGGGTCGCTTTTCGTAAGATCTCGGGAGCTGCCGTCGATTCAGTGCACCCCGCCACAACTCGGGTTCGCGTTTCGCTGCTTTCCCAGTTTCGTTGTCTCACAGCTACACACGCGTCGTCGGTGCTATATCAAAACGACTGGTTATGTTGACCTGGGTCTTTCGGAAGCGTACAACGAAGCACAATCGCTACATCGGCGTGCACTCGCTCGACCTACCGCATCGGAGTACAGACCTGTCAAGAAGTTCCACGGCTTTGCTGCCAGGCCGAGAACCTTTTCGGGCACTCGTTCGAAAGGGGGTACTCGGTTTCTAAAGCAAAAGTTAATCTTTAATACCGCTGATCAGAGCCACCGCAGAGACCTCCGTTACTCTGTATCCACGGCCGCTACTGCGAACCGAGGTGTTGAACGAACATGTTGGTTGCTTCTTCCGCAGAAGTTCGGCGTGTCGAATACAAACAAACGCAAGGCGCACTTACGTGCCCTTCCGAGGCGTCACTGATTGGTTCAGCCCTCGGGCGACTCGGCGACAAGTCGCAAAATGAAATCCGGAATCGACTGCTCTGAACCTGTCGCTTTCGCGACTTGCCGTCTTCAAGGCGCTCCTCAGGCCGCTCCTCGTATACAACTGTTTTTTTATTCTACGTCCTTTCTGTTGTATCCACCCATTCGAGAAGCACCTTTCTCTTAGCAGGAAGCAGTTCGTCGCCTTCTGCATCTAACAGCGCTGCCGCCATAATCGCGTATCGCCGTCTCATGTATAGGCCTCCATTCTTTTACTCTCGTCAGCGCTCACCGATCCCCGTTGTCGAGAGTGCAACCGCTAAGTGCGTCTGGTAACTTTGCCATCCCTCTCGGCTCCCCGCCGTTTTGGAGGATGCTAGAGTCGGGGAGGGAGTCCCGCTGTTATCACCGATCACCGACGTCACGCACATCCCTCCCGAGAAGCATCCCTCGTGCGAATACCCCTTTAGAGGGCAAGGTGTGCACTAGAGTCACTGGTGTGCACCATTTAACCGGAGTCCCGCCACTTGTACATCACACAAAAGACGCGGTATTCGCTGCAGACTTGACGGAAGTGTCTGCGGGCAGACTTAAGCATGTTCCAAGCATGTTTGCCTGGTACCTTTATATGCTTTGAAAATGTCGGCAGACGGTCTTTGTGTGAACCATACGTGACAGGGACGTCGTACAAGGTAGAAACACGTCTCCTAAAGCATCTGCAGACTTTCTTTTGCACGACGTCTTAGCGCCGTGACCGCGGTTTTACCGTCCTGGTACAGTGCTGACCCTGGGCTCCGGGCTGGGACTGTGCGTGCTCCACGTGTGCTGCGAGGTTCGGGCCATCTTCTGGCGCCAGGACACGCGGGACTCTCTGCAGCGCTCGGTGTGCGGCTTCATCGTGCTGGGCTGGTGTCTCTTCGGCATCTACGCGAGGCGCCTGGCAAGGAGACTCTTCAGCCACCCCGCCTTCTTCAGGGTGAGCGGCAGCAGTAGCGTTTGCATGATACTAGTTATACTTGGTGTGAAATTAATAGGTAGAAACATGTTAATCAATTAATGCATTAATCACGGACTAATTGTGAACCGAGTAGGTGAAAAAGTGTGTGGTTTTATTGATACTTAGGTGTGCCTGTCATTCTAACGTGCCTACCAAGCTGCTTTGGCCTCACGGCTGGCAGTGTATTTTAAAAGTAAAACTAATAATAATATAAATAAATAAATAGTATGTACAGTCTTTGACAAGATGAAAGACCCATTCGCCGAGGCGGTTTACGCGGTGGTGCTAAGCACGCTTTTTCAAGAGGCCCTCCATTCTAAGAGAAAGTGGAACAAAAGCTACATTTTCTCACCCCAAGCAATATAGGCCTCGCCAAAACAGATCTAGAACAACCGCCAGAAACGGCCCTGCGTCTGATGGGTCGTTCATATTGGTAGAGGTTGTTCACGCACTGTAGGTTATGATAACCCTGGGGAGCTGTCACTGAATTATATTTTATTTTGATAACTTTGTATTATTAGCTTTCTATGAAAAGACAGTGAGTGCGCAAGCGTGCTGGTGCTATTTAGTAATGACGTTTAAAACAGGGAGAGTGTAAAGTTTCATATTTTTTCCCGGGCTTTAACCATCATATCTCATGCTTTAACCATCAGTCTCGGGCTTTAACCATCATGATTAAGCTTTCTTTTTTTTTTTTTTTTAACTCGAAACGTTCTTTGGCTAGATGTTTTTCGGCATTTCGTGAAGCCCGAGAGTGAAGCCTTTATAATAGCGTGACCGCGACGCTCGGCACTGATTGGTTGACAGGTGGGAGAGGAGGAGGGATATGCTTGACGCTGATTAGTTAACGGGGAGGTCATGTAACCACAGGGTTAGGCGAGGAGGAGTGAGGTAGGCGAGGAGAGGAGAAGAATGCGAGGCGAGGAGAAGCTCGACCGCTAATGCGCACGTAGGAAGAGTAGCTCGAGAGTATGCAAGGCTCCGGAAGATCGCCAGGTTTATCAGTCCGATTACAGGTAGTGTCGCTTCATTCTAGGAGCAACTAGCGAGCATACACATGGTACGCGTTAAACTATCTAATGAACAGTGCCATGAACGTAGGCGTCTGGCGTCAGGAAGCTCAGAGTATCGCTAAACGTTTGTGATGCTAGAACGTTCACGCATGGATTACTATTGCCTAGCAATTCGCCATATTATGTTCTTCGAATATTAGTCCGTCACTGACAACCTGAACTAGAGGGGTATAAATAATATTGTCTAAAAGCTGAACAATATTTGCTGCGTAGCTTACCGCAGATATTTCGTTTAATGGGCGTTCTTTTTCGCTTTTATCTGTCTCGGCCAAAGGGATGATTGGCCATCAAAACACCGCACTGCTTTTGTTTTGTACTGTGATAACTTTGATTTAATTAAATATTTTTACGTACACATATCGCACATTTCTCCGTGGCTTAAATAGTACTTAGTCGCTGCTTACAAACAACGTACGAAACGTTAGAAAAAATGTGAAAACAGTTCTTTCTGGTTTTTGTTTTGCAATCATCCCTTGGTAATTTAATGTTTACCAAATGATGTAGTAAATAAAATAAATGGCTTCAATAAAACGATCTGTTCGTGCATTGCTAAGACTACTATACGGCGAGCAAGTGTTCTAGCACGAAATCTTTGGATCTTTGGAACGAGTGGAGGGGCACGCAGATAAACAAGAAACATAAACAACGTGTCTTTTTCAGGGGCGAAGCTCTTTAGGGTCTAGCCTTGTCCGGCGGCGTCCGTGCTTACATTGATTGCCATCCCATCTGTCTTCTTAAAAAAAGGAGAAAAAAATGTTTGCGCAGTCGACAGGATTCGAACCTGTGCGGAGGGTCCCCTATGGATTTCTAGTCCATCGCCTTCACCACTCGGCCACGACTGCGGGACGAGTGGGGGGCTCTGAGATATGGTAGTAACTCAAGAGCTGGGGTGTCTGTCATGGATTGCATGACAATTGCATGACGTTGCATGTAGCCGCTCAACGTCTATACAGGAGAGGACGCTGCGGTCAAATGCGTATATAATCGCGTTAAACTTTGCATGCATTGGCTCAAATTTCATAGACGAGAGGGCGCTGCAGTCAAATGCTCAACTGCGTATATAACCACGATCCATACCACACATTCTCTTTCGGACATGGACCGTTGACTTAAAGGGGTACTCCACCGATTTTTTGAGCTACGTCAACTAACTATATTTTCTGACTCCCCGGCCTTTACTCTCTCCGGTATGCTATTTAGAGTCGCGAAATTCATAATAGGTATTGTGAAATCGGCAAATGAAAATGATGCAAAAACCAACATTCAAATATACGCGCACTTATCAGTGCCGTGACGTCAGTGGCAGGCAGGCTTGCCAGTCTAGCAAGCAGCCAAAAAATAGAATATGCCAAACATTTGTTCCGTGCTGGAGAGCGGGTACTGCAGCGAGCTTCCCAAGCATTCATTTGACACCATGAAACTGCTTCGAATCAGTTTAAAACAAAATCTACAGCCCAAAGAGTGAACCCCTGCCTTCCACTGACGTCACTTTTTCATTGTTGCCAGTAGAGACTTCGAGCTTGAAAAACACGGTGACGACCAAAACTGTAAATTCAATAACTTCGCGAAAAAAACGATATTTTGACCTAATATTTGGGATACCATTTTCGCGTTGTTTGTTGGTTAGTTTAGCAAAATTTCAAGCAAATCGGAGACAATGAAAAAACCTGTGGAGTACCCCTTTAAGCGGTGGAGATGCGTTCCCACGGCTTCTAGCGGATCCAAGCTGATCCGCTAGAAGAACCACTGACTCTGCATTTCACCGACCATAAAGCAGTAATAATGAAGTCGAAACGCAACCCGGAACTCAGCACTACCTATGAGCAATAAAAAAAAAATCAGCATGATCAGCACTACCCATGAACAAAATCAGTATCATCAGCACCACCAGTGCTTCGTCCCAATTAACATCTTTGACCACGCGGAGATGCGGTCATTTTTTTTAGGCTAGTTGGGGCGAGTTTTTTCCGGTTATAAAGTATTCAGCCATTAACATCCTTTATCCATCCATCCAGCGTGCAGAAAGCGTACAATCAAAGGGCAGTCAGCAAGCGCGTGCCGTCATTGGTGAAGATCGAGGGAAAACAAAGACAAGGGGGGGGGGGGGGGGGGGGGGGGTTTGGTTAGGTAAACAAGCGCATGAGGTGCGCAAAGGCCAGACGAACTTGCATGCCGAACTCGTAATTTTCACGGCTTATAGGGGGCGCACTAGATTCTATCAAAATGGCTGTCATCTGGATAATCGCCGTAGAACAACTGTACGACGAATTGGGCCTGGGACGCGTTAGTAATTCTAATTTCGCAAAATATGAGCAATAGAAGAACCTTTCTATATGCTTGCTCGCCTGGAAGGTGTATGCAAGCACCTTCATTTTTTGAGTCAATTATCCAGTATCGAAGAGCGCGATTCTCACATCTCGCTACCACCATCGCTGAAAGTTGCGAAAACGAATTCATGAACCCTTTGCTACAAGGGCGCCGCCATCTTGAATGTCATCACTTCTAGTATGGGCAAAAACGTTGTTTTTACCGTCGCCACGCCAACAGAAGACATTCAGGATATAAACGTAACCGTTACCCATTCTCTTTTTTTTTACTTACCTCTATTTCCTTCCTATTTGTAGAATGAAATGTTTTATTATTTTTCCTTCGCCCATACCGAATGTGCCTAGCAGGTGATTGGGGACAAGGGTAAACGAAAAAGGTGTATAATGTCCTGGAATCTCAACACAATACGCAGGTCAAGAAAAACAGGATTAGCTCCTCTCACAAAGCACTCCATCCTTTCCACTTTAACAGAGCGAACGCTGGAGAGGAGGGGACCTCTTCTTCAGCGTTTGCTCTGCAAGTGGAAAGGGGTGGGGGATTCTTCCCCTGAACTCTTAAACTGTTAGAAATGGCAGAAAATATACAGGCGATCTGGTGCACTTTCAATAACTTGGAAATCCCCCCACCCCCCCCCCCCCCCCCCCCCCGAGACCAGGGACAAGAACGACACACATATTGGTCTGAAACGCAGCTGCAACTTTTATTTTCCCTTCCTCACCGGCCTCCAGATATACACCTGCCAGGTCCCCTCACAATAAAAGGCTCTTTAGGTGACCACTCACACCACAGTTAATACCCCACAACCCTGAAAAGTATTTAGAAGTTAAAACAGCCATGGTCTGGCTCAGCTTAGCCTAAGCTCCTTTGCTCTCCTCGTTGACGCTTCGCCTCGCGAGCTAATTTTAAGAGCGACATCTCTATAGACTGCTTCCTTTCTGTTATGTCTAAAAGCAACAAAAATTAAACCGAACATTCTGCTCATGTCCTCGACAACCAAAAGAACTCGTTGTTACGTTACCCAAAAAAACCCGAAAAACTAAAGGTGAATGCCCGAGAAATCGTTTAACTTCTCTCGTACACATTGAAAAAGAACTTGCCGCTGGATAGGTGAACTATGCTGCATAAATTTCCGTAATACTACGTACGGGCGGCTCAAGACATGAGAAAATGTGTGTGTGCGTGCGTGCGTGCGTGCGTGCGTGCGTGCGTGCGTGCGTGCGTGCGTGCGTGCGTGCGTGCGTGCGTGCGTGGTGTGTGTGTGTGTGTGTGCTTTTTTTTTTTTGGTTGGGGGGGGGGGGGGCCGCAGAGGACGCGAGCTTGGCTACTCAGCCGCTGTCCAGACCGATGGGCGAAGATTGCGGAATCACAGCTGCCGGAGCGGCGACTATCGTCGTTTCACTCAGATGGGAGTGCGTCAGGTCGAAGGGAGCAAACGAGCAAGCCAGCAGATAAGAGATTGCTACAGAAACCACTCTTGTTGGTTGTCTATGAGTTGCGATAGCATTCGTCTAGTACAACCTCAAGGACGACGTCTAAGACGACATCGAAGACGACGTCCTAGGGGACACCAAAGACAACATCTAGGACGACCTCTAGGGCGATCTCAAGGACAACCTCTAGGACGACTTCAAGGGCGAAGTCGGGGACGACGTCTAGGACGATTTCAAGGACGGCGTCAAGGGTGACGTGCTAGAGGACGTCGAGAACACCGTCAAGGTCGTCAGATCTTTCGAAGAGGGTACGAATGTGAAGGATTGCGAGAATGTGAGTTGAAATGGCCTACTGCGCACACCTACTGCGCATTAGGAGGCCATAAAGTCAGAGAAATTCCGGGGAGTAGCTAAAAGAATGCCGTCACATTAAAAGGACGCACGTGCGCACTGCGCGGTTCTCGGCAGCAGGCACAACGCGCAGTCAGGTAGGGTGGAGATGCAAATCGGTCGGCGCTCCGGTGCTGTGTGTCTTGTCTCATGTTTTATCGCTGTGAAATGTATGCATGTGCACCTGCTCGCTGACGCTGTTCAGCGGGGTAAGATTTGGTCATTTGGCTAGAAATACAAATGTCAGAGCAGGAGTGCATCACAGGTGATGGAGATGTTGATATGCGTTCAAAAATGAGCATGGTGATTTTTAATAGTTACGAAGCGTACCGCTTCGAAACTATTAACCTTCGGCGCAGGACATCCGCATGCACACCAATGTTTATATTAACGCACTCGTTTTATTTGTTTTAAAGCGCAGCTCTTAGGTGCCCGTTTCCGGCTTGAGCGGCGTCGGCATAACCGTGAGGTCATGTCACGTGACCCCCCTGAGGTCACTTGACCCCCCCTAAGGTCACGTGACCCTCGCCCGGGGTCACGCGACCTCACTGGGGTCACGTGACCACTGTGAGGCCACGTGGCCCCCGTGGCGGAGAAGCAGGCAGGATGACGAGGCAAGGCGGAGGGAGGAGGGGTATACCCTCCCCTCAGTACCCTTCCATCCCCCTCCTCAAGAGCTGCGCTCTAATTTGGCATTACAGGGACTTGTGAACGGCTTTCATTTTTTTTTTTCGTTGTTAAAAATGCATGCTTTACGAACACGCCGACCAGAGCTATGCGGTAATGGCAACACCGAGACCGTTAGTCGCTACCACCGTCTCCGCCGCCGTCCCCGTTCCTCTGGTTCTTCGCTCTTCCGCGAGGGCGAGTGGTGGGCTGGAGTTACGAATAAACGAGGAAGGGAAAATAAAAGTTGCAGCTGGGTTTGAAACTGTTCTGTGTGTCGTCTTTGTCTTTTGTCCCTGGTCTCGGGTTTCTAAGGCGTTCTTAACCTGCCACCAACTCTCCAACTCTCTTGCCTTGCCCCCTAGCGTTCGGTCTGCTAAAGTAGAAAGGGTGCAGGGCTTTACGTGAGGGTCCTCTCCTACTTTTCTTAACCTGCAACGGAGTACAGCTTTTGAGGCGTTGCTGCCTGTCAATTTGTCTTGGATTCGCACGGCTACGGCGCAGGACATCCGCATGCACTCCAAGACCCTGCTGAAAATCAACGTGGCGGCGCTGGCGGTGCTGGTAGGGGCGGTCTTTGTCGGTGTGAACGCTTACAGCGCCTGGCTGGAAGCGTCTCAGCCCGAATGCGAGCCCCGCGGAGGCTCCCACGAGCTTTGCATGGTACGCTTCGGCGTCCGTCTGCTCTTCTCCGCCTTGGCACTCCTCTGGAACGGACTCGTCTGCCTCGTCCTCGTCTCGGTGGCCAGGACTCACACCATCGGTGGGTGAGCTTCAACCTCGGGCTTCAAAACGTTGAAACTTCCCGCAGTGGCATTTATGATGTGTTTTGGCGTCATCTGTTTTATGATGATGATGCTCTGTGGCGTCATTTACTTGTTTGTCCCTCCCCCATTATAATGCCTCCACGGACACTGTGCTGAACTTGAAATATATAAATACACTTAAATTAATTAATTGGAGCATTAGCTGTTTTCAAAGCTACCCATAGCTAAACACATTTTTGGGATACGCAGGATTTACTCTTCCTTGCATGCTATTCGTCATTTCTAAATTTAAAATAGCTATTGAGAAAACGGCAAAGGAGAGTTACGCTAAAACTACCATTCAACTATTCCCGCGCTCTCCAGTGGGGTAACGTCATATGTTGTAGACCTTGCGATTGACGCAGGAATCTGAAGACGCAGTATTTTGCGAGTTTTATATATTTATTTATGTACTTGCTTTCGTGACCTTTCCTAGCGTTCATTTCACACCATCAAACTTGTGACCCATCGGGGAAAAGCTGTACCGCCCCCGCATTACAACCCTTGAGTCACGCTTTCAGAGATGCAAGGAGAGACCCTCAACCTCTCAGGCCAATCTTATATATTCAGTAACTTCGCGAAAACAAAATATTGTGACTTCTAATTTGGGCTACTAGTTCAGATGTGTCTATAAATGTGTTGAGCCAATTTTGAGGCATATGAGTGACCATCAGAATTTCTCCAGAGTTTCGAACCAAATCAAGATGGCCTCCGTGGGGCCGGAGCTTTAAGTTAGTGCCCTGAATGAGAACCTCTACCCCGCTTGTTGTTTTAATATCTGCCACTTAATTCTAAAAGCAATAAAGACGACCGTTGCTTGTAAATGCCAAGTTATAGTGTCGCGCTAGCGGCACTATAACTTGTAGCGGGGGTATCTGCCAAAGATACCGGCTCTTTTTGTAGGATATATGAATAAAGCGTTTTCTCACGAGCCGTTTTGTTTTTTTTTTTTTTTTTATTACGGGGAATGGTGGCACACTGTATACCTTTGATTATTGTCGTGAAACATACAACAGTATCTATACATTCCTTGTTTTTCAAGGCATTCGAAGGTTCATCAAGGAACTGGAATCCGATGCCGTCGCCCACGAGCGGCAGTACTCAAGACGCTTCCCGGGCTCCGTCATCACTTCAGAGGACATTTGTCAGGGTATGCATTGCATAGACTCTGGCCCATTTCTTGTACAATCACGCCTAGTTCATATGGACACCTTCTCTCCCCAATAATTTGTACGTAACGGGAGTTATCCCTAATAACGAGACAAAAATACATATATTTATCCAGTTCGCCTCCAAAATTTGTTTCGATATAGCGGGGGCATTCATATTAACGGGATTGATATCCTAGCTGATTGACCACCAGTCCCTGCCGAATGATGACGCAGCACTCGTGTCCAATTTGTTCCTTGAGCTGGTCTCCGGTAGCAGAACATTCACGCCATGGCGGTGACAAGGAACGAGCCATTTTCTTTCGCTGAACACGAGAGAGACGAAATCAACATATTATTTCACGGTTAGGTCGAAGTAAAGCGTGGCGTACCAGCTATATACAAACCCGCGCTTTGTCTTTGACATGACTGAGCCTGAGACAGGCAAGGAACAGAATATTGCTGCTGTGTTCGGAGGTATGGTGTGTGCTGTTCTTCTCCTTCCACATCTCCCTTTCAGTTTTGTAAAGTATTCACCATGTCGCATTCGCGCTCGTTCCTCTTTGAGCTCCGTCTTTCTTCTCGTTTCAGAGAGCATCTGGATTGAAAACAATATGCCGGGCGATGGAGACATTGGAATTCGGTTTTCGGCTTATCAGCGGGAAGATCGCCCTCTACACAGCCCCGTGGCTGCTGGTCACTCTGTAAGCCAATAGCTGACTGCTTCTTTTCGACGTGGGGAAACCACTAAGTTATTAAAAAAAAAAGACTTTGAGCACGTGGGAAACGCGGTAACGCTAAAGTTTCAGCTCGTGCTAAAGGCGCGAGGCTGGCGGTGCAGATGCAGGATGACACGGAAAAACCGCGTGGGCGCGTTTGCGCACTGCCAGCCTTGGGCCTGTTGCACGAGTGACAAATTTAGTGCACCACAGTACTTCCCACGTGCTACAACTCTTTCTGAAATTTACCGACGAAGTGCACTGTCTTCGATAACAGTCTGTTTATCTTTACTAATTGATAAGCTAATTAACAGATCTTAGTTAAATAAGTGACTTATCTGGCCGATTAGCTCCTTATATTCTACCCCCATGGCCGCATAACTCACCTGCACAGACCTAATTAGTGTACTTTTGACGGGTTGCGTTTAATAAATCTGTTCGAGTAAAAATCAAACATCCTGTTTGAGTAAACCTAGTATCGATTGATCTAATCAGTTCGGGAATGAGACCTCAGTTTAAGTTTTTGACAGGGCGATGGTTTACCGAACAAGAGTGAACAGTGTCCATGCTTTCATGGACTTTTGGACGATGTCGTTAACCCTAACCTACTCACCCCATATACAGGGGGCTGTGTAACACGAGAGCGCACGACACTAGAACGCCGACGGGAGATCGCGCGGCAGGAGAGCGCCACGACAGCAGAGCACCGCGACACACGAGCGCACGACAGGAGATGGCCACGACACGAGAGCGCATGTGCGCGCCTTGGGAATATTCGATACTGGGGTTGCTGGGGTCTTCAAACGCTTCAAACACGCAGCGGTCTGCAGTCACACTATTTAAGGTAATTTATTTTGTTTAGGTTATCTATCCTAACTCAATACATTACCGCACAACTGTCATCGCTGCCACTCATGAGCTCCTTTTGAAATTGGTCACTTTTTTTGATCTCGAGAAAGTTCTACTTGTCAAAAAAAAATTTGGGTTGTGTGTATGTTTATGCAGCCTATAACTTGGTCTGCCTCAACGGGCGACGAGTCTCCCAGCTGTAGATGAGCATTTAGCCAGTGCAGTACAACCGCTAGCATGGGGTCTTTAACGTGCACCACGCAGTAGTGATACACGACCGGGCCGGTACGATGCTCATCCAGATCGAAACGGGCAGGGGTGAAGATTGAACCCAGGATCCCGAGTTCTGCAGGGCGAGCTTTCGCTCCACGTGCTCTTCTATACTCGTCATTTTACAACGAAACTGTTTATGGCTGGGGTTCCGTGGATTTTTCGTGTGTGTGACCAAAACATCTACGCTCGCACCGCCGCACGCGCATGCCTTCCCCGTATGAAAGATTCGAAATAAATATCCAAACTAAAGTGTTGACGAACGCGCGTGCAAGATGTCGTTTGTTTTAGGCTTTTGCTTTAGAACAGCTACTGCTGCAGAAGCCGGCACGTGCGCCACATGGAACTCCATTTCCTGCATTCTCTTTGATGCTTGGGTAATTTAGCAATAAGTATATTTCACTTGTCTTCTCTCGTCGTAATGGGGAGGCTCTGTATAGTCCGGACTCCCGAAGAGCAACGGCGGGAACGGCACCGAGAATCTGAGCGGCGGCAGCGGGCGGCGAACACCACCGATGAAGTTCGTGCACAAAACGCCAAGCGCATACGGCAAACCAGACAAGACGATGAACGTCGCAGGGTGGAAAACGCATCGAATAAATGTGCGTGCTTATCCTTCCGTCACAATGATTACCGATCAAGACAATAAATGTGTTCGTGCCTTTGTTCAAAATTCTGTCACGTCTGTGTTGTGTGCTTAAAGGGGCCATCAAACGAATTTTGGGTTGGGATGAATGATTTTAATTTGGGACTTTACTAATCGCATATCGTTTAGTTGGCCAAAAGAAAGAGGCTAGAAAGTCAAAAGCCAGCTTTTCGGTACGAACATTTGAAAATATAGCGGACTATTTTGTACCTTCTTGCCTTCGAAAGCTCTCCGCCTTTTCACTATGATACATCCGCGGTTCCAAAAGCGCGTCACCGGCGCCAAACTGACGTCAGCAGAGCCCAGCTCACTCATTGGACACGAGAACCGCGTCACTCGGACGTATGCGCTCGTCAACAATCAATCCGTCGATTTGGATTCGCGTTCGTGGCCAATGAGTGCCCTGACGGAAATTATTGTCACTGGGGAATGACAAGTTCTATGGTGTGCATAAAAAGCACGGTGGAAGCTAGGAGTCATCGCACCGGTGCCGAAGGAATGTCACGACCACGTGATTTTACAATTCGCATTTGAGTTGAGGTTTAAAGCTAAGGAGGAAGAAGTAGGAAAATCGTTTCATGACCCCTTTAACATCTTCGCTGGTGATACACCTTCACAGAGGGGAATGGCTCATGATTTTTGTCTCCCAGAGAGAGAGAGAACAACTTTACTGAAAATGCCTGCAGAATCGGTTAGGCTCCCTCCACGCAGGGAGGACGAACTTTCACCGCGACGCGGCCACTACGTCTGTCTCGTGCGTTCTGCTCCTCGAGGTTTGCTTCCTCGCTACTTCCGCGGGTCCGAGAGGGCCGCCGCCCCCTTTTTGGGGGTGCTGCTCCCCTTCTCCCCGGTTTCGCTCGGTCGCTGCCTCTCTAGAGCTGCCGAGACCTGCTGGACGGCCTTGAGTTGTGTCCCTTGATCATAGCTCCTCGTTGCAGCCTCTAGCTGCGGCGGGAGGTTCGTCTTCTCGCTGGCTTCTCGCGGATTTACTCTACAGTCCCAAAGGATGTGAGCCGCGGTAGCTCTCTCCTTCGCGCACAGTCTACACACGTCACTCGCGTACACACTCGGACACACGTGCTTTGCTAGCACCGGGGTGAGCAGGGACCCAGTCTGTAATTGTCTGTATAAGACTGCCTCCTTCCTAGAAAGCCCTGGATGAGGTGGCGGCATAGTCTGTCTGTTTAGTCTATACCACTTCACTATTTCGTTGAAGGAGGTCATCTTGTCCTTGGCACTGTACCGCGACCAACACCCCGAGTCGGCCGTGTTTGCAGCTGCGCGGTTGGTTAGTCCTCGCGCGGCCGCGTTGGCCGTCTCGTTGTGGTTCGCGTTCCCGCGTTCCGACACGTCACTGCCCATGTGGGCCGGAAACCACTTGATCGCCACAGCACTTTTGCGTCCGATGTCTGCGGCCTTGCGTAGTATGCGCGCGGCCTCTCTACATACCCTACCCTTGGCGTAGTTCTTCACTGCCGTTCTAGAGTCGCACAACACTGTAGTGCATCCGGGGTCGGAGACGGCCAAGGCGATGGCCACCTCTTCCGCCCGGTGCGCTTCTCGAGTGCGGACGCTCGCCGCGGTCTTCGTTGCACCCGTCGATGCCCCGACGACCACCGCCGCGTATGCGCCGCTGCTCCCTCGATACTCCGCCGCGTCCACGTAGACGGCCCCTTCTTCTCTGGCGTGGAGGTCCACGAGAGCCCTGGCCCTCGCCAACCTTCGCTCCTTGTTGTGCTCGGGGTTCACGTTCCTCGGGATCGGGCAGACCCTGAGCTTTCTGTTGATGCTATCCGGTATAGGTACGCTGGTCTGCTGCTCGCCTTCCCTTGGTTCGAGGCCAAGGTCCCGCGAAATCTGTCTTCCGGTTCTCGTTTCATTGAGACGCTCGAGTTGCGCCGTTCTCTGTGCCTCGGCTATTTCGTCCAGCGTGTTGTGGACTCCCAACGCCATGAGGTTTTCGGTGCTCGTGCTCCCGAGAAGACCGAGTGCCGCCTTATACGTCTTGCGTATGGTTGCGTCTATCTTGTTACTTTCACTTGGCCTCCAGTTGTGGAAGGCGGCCACGTACGTTATGTGGCTGACTGCGAAGGATTGAACGAGCCTGGTCAGGCTCTCCTCCTTCATCCCCGCTCTTCTGTTGCACACCCTCTTGATGAGTCTCATTGCCGCGGCCGCTTTGCCCGCGAGCTTGTTCACCGTTTCACCGTTGACCCGGTTTCGCTCGATGAGCAGCCCGAGCACTCGAATCTTCTCGACCTCCGGTATTTCTTGTCGTCCTGCCGTCTTCACCATGATCTTGGGACGCTCGTACTTGATTTCCATATTCTTTCTTTTCCTGCCAGAAACAAAAATTCGGGTAACATACGAATACGAGTAAAAAAAAAAATTAATTTGGCGATGAACCTGTTCTTTTTTTTTTTTGGGGGGGGGGGGGGGATTAGACATACGTGCAGGTGTTACATCATGATCAGGTCCATTGGACCTTTTCCGAGAAGCGTTCTGCGCACGCGCGAGCGCCCGACGCCAAGCGGTGGAAGTCGGCAAGAAAAATAGAGGAAATTTGGAATGAGGCTGTAGATCGACGAGTAGAACACGTAATTGCAGCATATATAGAATTGTGTTACACAAAAAAAGAAAGTGGACGAAAACAAAAACACGACGTTTGGGGGGACGCTACGGGTTTCCCTCTTTAAAGTCGCGTTGGGCACGCGACGCAGCTCAGAGGGCGAAGCAACTGGTAGCTTAGCTCACGTTATCGATTGGTAACGCAGGTAGGTCACTTCCTCGATTTTTAGTTCGTGCAGCCACCGCCTGGTGCCGTCGGTATTTGGAAAAGGTCCATTCTGGCAGTTGCCGAGAAAACGTTGAATATCGAGCGCGCTAGAAATCAATCCGTTCTTTCATGACTATGATTCATGACGAAATATGAAGCTACACTCGCATCTTGTGCAGTGCTGGCCCCCCTGTCGCGTAACAGTTAATTCAATCTATAACGACCCAGGTACTACGAAAGAGGATACGATTGATTCATGAACGTTCTGCTATGGGGAAAGGCATTCTGCAGCTGTTGTTCAGCGCTCTCGTGACGTGCGCTCTCCTGTCGCGCGCTCTGCCGTCGACGCTTTCATGTCGTGCGCTCTCGTGGCGCGCTCCCAAAAAGGGTGCTCCTTAAAAAAAGCTGTAGGGTTTTGTTTTCACCGTAAAAATAAACTAGGCATCGCCGAACGCTCATTCTCCGCCCAAAGGCAGCTCTAGAGGTTCGAACCAGATACCCAAAGTTTCAGTACGAACTGATATTTTATTCAAAAGTTGTAAATTATTTTTTCTTTAAATTTCAACGGGAGAATGGGGCCCCTTTGTTCCCGTTTTCGGTTTCTGGCGCCATTAGCGGCGAGATGTTTCGGTGGCGCCCTCGTTTGGTTACCTTTCGTGACGTCATTACCTTGCGAACAACAAGTTCGGTGGTGTTTGTAATGGGCATGGGGGAAGCCTGAAATCATAGCGCTCTCAAAGAACACTGCCAAAACCGTTGAAATTGAAGTTCTTACATTCCTCTCATTTGCGTCGATGAGACATCCTTCGCTGACGTCATAGTCAGCATTCTGCCAATCGTGGTAGACCGACCACTGCGACGCTTTCGATCGCTCACGTCGCCAATGGAGCTCTATGGATTCGAGAGCTCCATTGGTGAACGTTTTCCCATTGACATTTTCAGAAAATATTTTTGGAACTTTCGAATGAAATATCGGTTAATGCTGAAACTTTGGCATCTGGTTCAGACCTCTTGCGCTACCTTCGGGCCGAGAATGAGCGTTTGGCGATGCGTAGTTTATTTTTGCAATGAAAAAGTGAAAGCCGTTTACAACTCCCTGTAACACCGAATTAGAGCGCAGCTCTTGAGGAGGAGGAGGGAAGGGTACTGGGGGGGGGGGGTGTCAAGCGACCTGGGGGGGGTCACGTGACGATGCCGACGATGCCATCAGTGACGTCACTGATGACGTCATCAGTGACGATGACGCTGCGGATTCCGATGGCGTCATCAGTGACGTCACTGATGACGTAATCCGTGATGATGACGATGCGGATGCCGGTGACGTCATCAGTGACGTCACTGATGACGTCATCAGTGATGATGACGATGCGGATGCCGGGGACGTCATCAGTGATGATGACGATGAGGATGCCGGTGACGTCATCAGTGATGTCACTGGTGACGTCATCAGTGATGATGATGATGACGATGCGGATGCCGGTGACGTCATCAATGACGATGATGTCATCGGGGAGGTCACGTGACCTCGGCGGGGGGTCACGTGACCCCGGGGGGTCACATGACCTCGGGGGGTGTCACGTGACTTCGGGGAGGGGGGTCACGTGACCTTGAATGAGGGGGTCACGTGACCTGGGGGAGGGGGTCACGTGACCTTGAAGGAGGGGGTCACGTGACCTGGGGGGAGGGGTCGCGTGACCTTGGGGTGTCACGTGACCTTGGGGTGACCTTGGTTACGCCGACGGCGACGCCGACGCCGCTCAAGCCGGGAACGGGACCCTAAGAGCTGCGCTCTAAAAAAAACTATACACTTTTGGGGGGAACAGCCTGTATATTCTGGGCAGGAAACCCCAACAGGATGTTGCCACGTGCGTGGCCGAGTTTGAAGCGCACACTCTTTCTATCACCACCATCACATCAGAAATCTGATTACTTTTTAGAGCGCAGCTCTTAGGGGCCCGTTTCCGGCTTGAGCGGCGTCGCCGTCACCGTCGGCGTAACCGCGCGGTGCATCATGGGAAATGTCCCATAATGCACCGCGCGAGCCCCCCACCGGGGTCACGTGAGTCCCCTGAAGTCACGTGACCGCCTCCTCGAGGTCACGTGACCCCCGCCGATGTCGCGTGACCCCCCGATGACGTCATCGTCACTGATGACGTCACCGGCATCCACATCGTCATCGTCATCATCACTGATGACGTCACCGGCATTCACATCGTCATCATCAGTGATGACGTCACCGGCATCCACATCGTCATCATCACTGATGACGTCACCGGCATCCGCATCGTCATCATCACTGATGACGTTACCGACATCCGCATCGTCATCGTCATCACCACTGATGACGTCATCAGGGACGTCACTGATGTCGTCACCGGCATCCACATCGTCATCATCACTGATGACGTCATCAGCGACGTCTCTGATGACGTCACCGACATTCGCATCGTCATCATCACTCGTGAAGTCATCAGTGACGTCACTAATGACGTCATCGGTACCCGCATCGTCATCGTCACCGATGACGTCATCAGTGACGTCAGTGATAACATCATCGGCATTGGGGGTCACGTGACCCCCCCTGGATAGTTTAACACCCCCCCCCAGTGCCCTTCCCTCCTCCTCAACAGCTGCGCTCTAATTCGGCGTTACATGGAGTTGTAAGCGGCTTTCACTTTTTAGAGCGCAGCTCTTAGGGGCCCGTTCCCGGCTTGAGCGGCGTCGGCGTCGCCGTCGGCGTAGCCAAGGTCATCCCAAGGTCACTTGACCCCCAAGGTCATCCCAAGGTCAGGTGACCCCAAGGTCACCCCAAGGTCACATGACCCCTACCCAAGGGTCACGTGACACCCAAGGTCACGTGACACCCAAGGTCACGTGGCTCCCCAAGGTCACCCCAAGGTCACGTGACACCCAAAGTCACGTGGCTCCCCATGTCACGTGATCCCCGGGGTCACGTGACCCCCGATGACGTCATCAGTGACGTCACTGATGACGTCACCGGCATCCGCATCGTCAGCGTCATCATCACTGGTGACGTCATCAGTGACGTCACCGGCATCCGCATCGTCATCGTCATCATCACTGATGACGTCACCGGCATCCGCATCGTCATTGTCATCATCACTGATGACGTCATCAGTGACGTCGCTGATGACGTCACCGGCAACCGCATCGTCATCATCACCATCTGCATCGTAATCGTCATCATCGCTGATGACGTCATCAGTGACGTCGCTGATGACGTCACCGGCATCCGCATCGTCATCGTCATCACTGATGACGTCACCGGCATCGTCATTGTCATCATCACTGATGACGTCATCAGTGACGTCACTGATGACGTCACCGGCATCCGCATCGTCATCGTCATCATCACTGATGACGTCACCGGCATCCGCATCGTCATTGTCATCATCACTGATGATGTCATCAGTGACGTCACTGATGGCGTCACCGGCATCCGCATCGTCATCGTCATCATCACCATCCGCATCGTAATCGTCATCATCGCTGATGACGTCACCGGCATCCGCATCGTCATCGTCATCATTACTGATGACGTCACCGGCATCGCCATTGTCATCATCACTGATGACGTCATCAGTGACGTCACTGATGACGTCATCAGTATCCGCATCGTCATCGTTACTGATGACGTCATCGACACCGTCATCGTCACGTGACCCCTCAGGTCACGTGACCCCCACCCAAGGTCACTTGACCCCCCCCCCCCCCCAGTACCCTTCCCTCCTCCTCCTCAAGAGCTGCGCTCTAATTCGGCGTTACAGGGAGTTGTAAACGGCTTTCATTTTTTTTTTACCATAATTCCCGGAGGACGACTGATATTCTTGAGTCTGGGACCGAAGCAGCGACGAGCTTCTAAAGTGGTGCTGTACCGCCAGCCATTATCTTTCATTACGTTCCGGAATGAAGAAGCCGGCGGAAGCTTTGCGCACCGCGGCAATCCTAGAGGCATTGTAAACGACACATTATGCATGGATCATCTAGTTGACCGTGTTCTTGACGATAAAAGATAAAATGCAGAAATGACAGTACCTCGCACGAGCTTTGGCATCGGAGAATAGGTAAAGTATGTTAAGCATAATTTTTTTTAATATTGAGTCTATTAGTTAAAAGAAAATGAAAGAAACAAACTCAAGAGTGAAGGTACACATAAACAAGGCCAGACGGCACAATGAAATTCCTTTTTTGCTTGTTTTCTTGCAGCAAGTGAATTCCTTGACTTCTCAGATGAGCGATTCTGCAAACGTCGAAGTGTCCCAGGTCTGCCGAACTCTTTCCGTTGCCGAAATACTCCGCATATATTGGAAAATATCGGTGAGTATTTGTAGCTGAAACTTGCTCCTAAAGTTTTGAGTGTCTCCACAATTTTCAAAATTATGGCTCATTTTCCTCCTGGAAAGAAAACGACCGACCATGCCAGGGTTCCGAGCGAGGGGCTTCTCAGCAATCGTATATTGTGCAAGCGCGTTCTCTGCCCAAACTTCGCGAACTTGCGATTTCTGAACAGGGTGGATCGATTGATTTCAGCGGTATTCTTCGTGTGCCAAGGGAGCGTTTGACGCACATCGCAGCGTTAAATCGACAAAGAACAACACTGACATCGCGCTGACTTGAACGTATACTCACCGACGCTACGCTGTCTCAGCACTCGATTACTAATACAGCGCGAAATCAGCGCTGAATCTGCAAGCTCAGCTCTATTTCCAACGTTGCGTAATTGTACTGAGGTAATGCTGCGGTGTATGCGCGACCAGGCCTTAATCGCGAAGTGCTTCAAGCGTTGGACAATCACAGCTTACTCCGCCCGCCTCCCGAACCTTCCGCGTGGGCACAGGAAGAGAAGACACGTGTGTTTCAATCAACTGAATAGCTAAAATCGTTTACCGCAAACTGTCGGTCATGTTGTTTTCCAGCTGCTTTTCTTAAGCAGACAGAAACCTGTTGTGTCAATATTAACCGTAGAGCTATGGTTCCGGCGACGCATGTCCGACTACTCTCCATGCATCCTGGCGGTTGGTGCTAGAATTAAAGGCGAAGAAGGCAAGCAGACGCCGGGGGGGGGGGGGGGGGGGGGGGGGGGGGGGGGGCATCGCATCTGCCGCGGCATCCCAACCCGTGGCTGCTAGTGTCTCCGTCAACAGCTTGCTGCAGAGCAATCTACGGCAGAACAGGAGTCTTGGTTGCCTACCTACGCTGCCGCGCCACCACCAGGGTAGGATTGCTCTGATCCGCAGTATTACACGGAGGCGGGACATGAGTAGGCAAAGCTTAAGTGTGTAAAATAAAGACAGGACGTTAAACTCACGAGGCGTTGACCTCGTGAGTTTAACATCTAACAGGAGATGGACGGGCTCTATCTCCCTGCACACTGAGCAGTGCGTGGACCTTACACTTGGAGAACCTTGCTGGCAGAGACAAGGAGTGCGCGTCATCCAGGTTGCCCGTTCTGTGCTCGTACCAGGCACGTAGCCAGGAGGGGGGGGGGGGGGGGGGGAGGGTCTATCGAGCCCGGCCCCCTCCCCCCCGAAATATTCCATTTTGTTGGGCCCCCTCTCCTCCCTCCCCGTCATACAGCATTTTGTCATGGGCGCCCCCCCCCCTCCCCCCCCCCCCCCCCCGAAACAAAATCCTGGCTACGTGCCTGCCACGTATGCTGGCCATCTCCTTCCACGAGGTGGCCGAACGGTCTAACGCGGTCAGCCATGAACCCAACAGGAAGAAGTGCCACAAGCCATTCTTGAATTTATGTTGCTGCTAGCCGCCGGGAAGCTTGATGATGCAACGCAAATGATTCAGGAAGACAGGCATGTGTGGACTGTCAACAATCATCGTTGTATGCTACGAACCGAGTGTTTTGTGGATGTCTTCCGATTGTGAGTGTAACCGAATGATGCGGTACTTCTCGACGTTTTTGCGTTGCGTAGTTGATGAGGGCAAATGTTTTTAGATTGGTATGTTTCTGGTGTTTATGTTGGAGCAACCATGGTTGAGACTTGAGAGAAGGAAACAAGAAGACAGGTTTTGTATGATCTGGACATCTGGCGAATGAAGCTGTTTGGCGCTCGTATTTCTATAGGGACGACTATGCGATTGAGCCGACGTCGCGTTGATGGAATAGCGTGTGAAGTAAGTCAACAGGCAAATCTTGGCACTGATGGGCGAGCTTTCTGGGCGTCACATCGCCTGGTTTACGGGAGGAAAGAGAGAAAAGGGGGAAACGGTGGGGCGGAGCGAGGCTTAGGTGAACAGGTTTCGTTGATTCACGCTATATAACCTTTGGCCGGCTCCCAGATTTGCTCACGTGCTACTTTTCCGAATACGCGCCCCTCCCCTTTTGCGTGCCAGTGCCGCCTGCGCCTGTCGGGCATAGCTCTGCAGCGATGGGTGGCCAGCCTGCTGGCCCTGGTGGTGGCTTGGTGCTCGGCCATGCTCGTCGTGTGGCTGCACCAGCCGGCGTCCTTCTGCCAGGTGATCGAGTTCGTCTGCCCCCTCACCGTACTTCTCATCGTCTGCGCTTGCATTGCTGAGGTCAACGTAGAAGGCATCCGAATGCTCAAGGTACGGCTCACGGTACACCCCAACGGACGGTCACACAAAGCGAAAAGATAGTCGAAGTTGGTGGGAAGGACTGGATAAAGAAACCTTCTGGAGAACCGAGAGTGGCAGCCGATGTTGTTGTTTTTAAAGCTATTTAACTTTTTTCGGAGAGTGCGGAAAAAGTTGGGCTTTTTAACGAAACATCGACCGCCACTTTGGGGCTTTTAGGAAGTCCAGTTTCAAGTCAGTGCTGGAGGATTAAGCGAAGAGCCCAGGAAACGGTACAACCGGTTCTCATCTTTCCAGGGTTTATAAAGTAACCTTCATCAAATACTTCTTGACCGCTCTATTGCTGCGATTCTATAAACTCCGTCGCTGCCGTCGCCCACTAGCAGACTACGTCGAACTCGTTACTAAGCATAACAGAAAGAAGGCAATGCTGATAGCGCATGTAAGAAAACCGGTGCTACTTAAGGGGTGGACTAGGGTCTCAGCAACGTAAGTTCGCAAACACGCGTCAGTTTCCTCGCAGTGCCGCGTATTGCTCAGAGCTCCCGCGACTATATAAGCTCCGGCGACGAGTACTACGATTACACTGCTAATGGATCGTACAAAAGGACAGTCTGTACACACTGTACACACTGTCTGAGGTCTTCCTTATATGACGATCACATTGGTCATGCTTTGAACTGGCGGAAGCATACGTACGTACGAAGCAGACGTGCTTCGAACATGCGTATCCGCAGTATATGCTGTCACCATGTCTGTAGCCAACACCGTGTCTTTTACGTGATGTTTTGAACAGCCTGATTGCGGCTTTCTGGTGTACAGTGACGAATGCTACGAGCCATGTTAGCCGGTCCAGCGCTGTGCGCGTGCCACGTGCTTCAAACCTTTTGCGGCTCCTTCCGACTAAAGCCACTCGATCCTGGGAAAGTAGCGCTAAGCTCCCCGTATGGTCGCCATTTTGATCCGTGAAATAAGCAATTTCTCCTTCACCCCTCCGTTCTTGGTGAGCCGATCTAAATTCGCTCATGACGGGTAGCTTCATGGAGACGTTTCTTGTACATCGAGACTTTCCTATCCGCACACCGGCGAAACCAGTGTAAGTCTTCGTACCACCACCGCATGCTGTGTCGGTGCTTGGAGGCACTGAAAAATAAGTGAAGACATTGTAACTCTGAGGAGGTCCGTAAGGGTCCGGTCGGAGAAGGGAGAACCGCCCCAAAGTTGGGTACAGCAAATTGACCTTTAGATAACGAGGCGAAGCGTGTGCGAAATCGGGGAGGAGGGGAGGGTGGGATGGCTGTATATAAAAAGAAGTTGTGGTGATTAAAAATGTAGTTGCTGACTTTGAGACGTTTCTGTTTGTCTGTCCTTAACCTCCGTCTCGGGTTGTAGAATGTCTGAAAAATAAGTTTACTGTTTTAAAATGCGCAAGAGTACATAATTGAAAGAAATCCGTGGAGATGTGCATGATTGATAAGTTGATTGCTTATACAGTGCCAAGGACGCTTATATTGGCGAGGAACGCTTCCAGTACGATGATGCTCCATGGTAATCTTGGCGCAACTGTTTTAGAACGACCCTCTGGAAGCTTTGAAGGTTTGAATGGACCGAGATGGCGATTTCTATGGAAACGTAGAGGGATTAGCAAATCGCCTTGCGAGGTTTTGGTCGTCTGTATGTTAGTATCTGTTTATGTCCGGCTAGCAGGTAGGGAAGGCAATGGCACTACTTTCCCAGCATCCAGCGACTTTACTTCCAACCAGAGAGAGAGAGAGGTGGCGTGAGAGAAGCAGGGGAGGTTGTTCTAGCGGGAATGCTGAACTGGTTCCCCAGAAAAAGAAGCAGAGAGAAAGGAAAGAAGGGGGATAAAGAAAGGGGGAAGGAAAATAGAGAAAAATAAAATAAAGACGTGAACGCGCTAAGAGTTAATCTCGAGTTATTTCACAGGCGGTTTGCGACACCGGATTCGTCGAGGAAGTTCAGTAGCAGGTGTTGTATTACTTGGCGGCGACGGGCCGAACCACTTGGATAGATGATGTCCTCGTCGTCTGGATCACGAAGTCCAATTCTGGCGAGCTCAGTGACGAACCGTTGACGTGGATCGCTATATTCTTCGCAGTTGAAGAGGATGTGGCAAATGCTTTCTTCATCGTTGCAGTTCGGACACTGGGAGCTTTTTATTGCAGATATTTTAAAAAGAAACGCATTTGTAAATGCACTTCTGCTGCGTATTCTTATGAGGAGAGTGCACTTCTCTCTTTTAAGACCCTTTGTGATGCATGGCTGATGTTTGGAGTATCTGGTTGGGGAAAGTTCAGTTATGTAACTTTTTATGGACTTTCGTGTCGCATTGAAATCTGTTGGACTGGGAATAGTGCGCGGCAGTCCATGTGCCGCTCCTGCGAGTTTATCGGCTTCGGAATTACCAAACAGTCCCACATGTGAAGGTACCCATTGAAACGCAATGTTGAATCCAGAATTGTATAAGTGCTTTAACGTAAGTTGAATGGTAGCCGTCGTTTCGTCCATGGAGTCAGGATTACCTAGGCGTTGAAGTCTCGTTCTTGAATCGGTGACCAGCACTACAGTTTGTGGGGTATGTGAGGTGATGTAGTTAAGTGCCTTCTCAATGGCCTTAAGCTCTGCCGTGGTGGAGCTGACCACCGCTTGAAAACGGCCGCTCCATGCCGTGTTCTCCTTTGGTATAACAAAGGCCGCGGTAGCGCTGCACGTTCCGAAGTGAACGGAGCCATCGGTATATACCTGTAGAGCTCCTGGGTATTTTGAGGAAAGGACCTCCTCAGCAATTTGCCGCAGTACAATTCCTGGTAGATTTCCCTTCCTATACACTCCCGGGAGATGTAGATCGTACATTACTGGTGGTTCGCGCCATGGCGGTTCTTCAGCGCAAGTTAGGGGACGAGATTTCTGGAGCGATGGTTCAACGTTGTATAGCTCTTGTAAATGTAGGGTATAATTGGAACGCCTTGCTTCTAGTTTCTTGAGCAACGTCACTCCACTTCTGGTTTGATGAAGACGTACAAGTTGATTAAGTGTCGATTGTGTCGCTCTCAGGTTAAGGTCTAGAGATGAGCTCTCTGCATAAACGCACTCATTAGGTGCTGCTCTCGGAACGCCTAAGGCGGTTCGTAGTCCTCGGCGGTGGATGCGTTCTAAGCGAGTTTTTTGTGTGTCAGAGAGATGCGTGAAAGGTAGGGCATATATCATGCGGCTCACAACTAGTGAAGTGTGCAGCCCAAGCATGGATCTTGGAGCATTTCCCCATCTTAGTCCACCAATGCGCCGAATGGCATTCACAAATTTAGTTGATGCTTCGGCTATCCTGTCAGCTTGCTTTTTCCCTTTTAATCTTGGGTCTAAGGTAACGCCGAGGAACTTGTACACTTTGACGCGTTGAATTTCGCTCTTGCTAATATTTAGTTTAATATTATGGCATGAGCGTCTCTTCGGGTGCGGTAGAATCATATACGCAGTTTTCTCTTTTGAAACGTTGAGTCCTACTGCATCCAAATAGTCTACAACTGTGTCGATTTCTGGCTGCATAGCATTCCTTAACGTGTCCCGTCTTGTTGCACTCGTCCAGAGGCAGATATCATCTGCATACACAGAGCACGATGTATAAGGAGACGTTCTTTTAATAGCTGGAGGAAGGCCTGCCATTGCGATGTTGAACAATATGGGGCTGAGGACGCAACCTTGCGGAAGTCCAATATTTCGATGATGTGTGACGCTTAGGGTGTTTCCAAGGCGTACTTGGAAACATCGGTTGCTCATAAATGCAGACAGAAACGTCTGGACACGCCCGGTGATGCCGATTCTGGTAAGTTCTTGAAGGACAGATAGGATGCTGGCATTATCAAAGGCCTTTTCTACGTCGAAGAAAACAGCAAGTGTTGTGTTTCCTGTCCTTCCTCCATGCTCGACACTGCTGACAAAATCCAGTAGACTATCTGATGCGCTAAGTTTTGGACGAAACCCTGTCATTTCGTCTGGAAGTAACTTCTGACGTTCCAGGAACCAAGCTAGTCGACTTTGAATTAAGCGTTCCATCAGCTTTGCGACGCATGAAGTCAGTGCTACTGGTCTGTACGAGGTAGGCAGCTCTGGTGGTTTTCCAGGTTTCCGTACGGGGACAATCGTTGAGAGTTTCCACTCATCTGGCACTCTTCCAGATTCCCAAACTTCGTTAAACAAGCGAAGTAGGGAAGAAAATCCATAGGGAGGAAGGTTTTGCAAAGCTTGGTAGGAGATTCCGTCAGGGCCAGTGGCGCTGTGGCGACGGCATTTCCGTAGAGCCACTGTCAGCTCATTTTCTGTGAACGGGTCATCCAAGAGACTTGCCTTGCGGTTTACTGGAGCTGACCGCAGCAATGTACGAGCCTGGTTAGAGTATGAAATGGCAAATTCTTCGGCTAGGTCAGGCAGGTTTGTCTGTTGAGCAAGCGCTAATGTATCGAAGGGTCGAACCGGACGTCTGTTTCCGCTTAGGCAGCGAATCACCCTGCAGACTTTGCCAAAAGAGGTTCGTGAATTCGATTCTTCACAAAATGTTCTCCATTGGCTCCTGAGAAGCCGGTTGGCGTATCTCTTGAAGACTGTACATATTCGGTTGAATTTTATCTTGTTCTCGAGAATCGGGTGTCGTCGGTAGCGAATCTGTGCCCTGCGACGAGCTGCGGAGAGATTCAGCAGCTTTAAGTCCGGGGATGGGAAGTGTTCTGGTAATCGAATAGTTCTTGTGCTGTTTCTTAGTGCTGTCTTTATTGCATCAATGATATCATCGTTCGTAGAGTCAAGTGTGAAGCGAAACGTGTCCCAGTGGATAACATGACATACTTTCTTTTTAGTGTTGGAACAACCCGTGATCTGAATCCAAATAGGAAAATGGTCGCTTCCCATTGTGTCAGGTGCCGTGGACCATGTAACGTTGAGGGACGGATCATGCGCTGTAACATCTATTGCTGTAAAAGTCGATGGTACTCGCAAGTATGTCGGGCTGCCCGTATTTGCCACCACAAGTCCTACTTCATCGAAAAGTTCTTCGAGTTTCCTTCCTCGGCGATCTGATCGTACGTTACCCCACATTGTATGATGCGCATTGAAGTCTCCGCATGTGATAAGGTCTTGGCGATGTTGTAGACACCAGCTTTGGAAGCGGTCGAACATGTCCGTGTTGCTTCCGGGACGTATGTATAGAGAGACAACAAGTACCGTTTTCTTTCCAATGCGTACCTTAGCTGCAACAAATTCTGCGTCTTCCGTACATAAATCAGTGGTTGGGATTTGACACTGGGGAAGCTCTCGGCGAATAAAAAGGGCTGCGCTCCCATTCGGAAAAGTCGAAATTGATGGGCACGTGTAAGTCTTGTACCCAGATAAGGAACAACCACTTCGGAGGCCAGCCTCCGAAAAAGCCAAGACGGGTATTGGCGACTGTTTGATATATAATTTGATTTCAGAGAGTTTTGAATTCAGACCTCTGCAGTTCCATTGGAGTATTGTTGGGTATTCTTGTTTACCAGTCATATTGATTTGTTATCTGTGCCTGCAGTTTTCCTCTGTTATATTGTCGAAAGTGTATTGTCTTCAAGTTGCCGGTTGTGACAATTTATTTCTTGATTATAGTGCAAGGATGGCCTCTAGGCACAATATACCCTTAAGGGCCGTTTTGACCTCTCCTGCTGGTAGACCTTCCATGACTTTTCTAATAGTTGCAAATACTGCTTTTACGATTGTCATTTTGGGACTCTCAGCGGCATCTTCACGCTCAGGAAGTGTTGTGCTTGCCGGAGAAGCTTTAACCACCTTTGATTCTTCCGTTGAACCACTTGTTCCGCCGCTGGTGGAGGTCCTCGAACCTGCAGGCGTCACGGTCTCTTTTGATGGTATAACGCCGCAGTCGTTCGGACGTGCGTCTAAAAGAGCGGCTCTGTAACTTTTTCCTCCAGGCTTCTTGGGCTTCCTCCGTGAGTTATTTCTTGGTTTACCAGGCTCGAAGATAGTTGGCGTCTCCGACGAGGCATCTTCAATCGGGGAAAGCCGTGGGAAGTCATCTGGGCCTGCTGAAAATTTAACTTCCTGTTGCTGTGGTTTTGGTCCACGGAGGAATGCTTTAGTACGTGCCAGTGCTGCAAGTCGGACCTTGCAGTTAACGTAGCTTGCGGGGTGAGGATCACCACAGTTGGCGCATTTTACGGTGACCTCCTTAGAGCAAGAGGTTATGTCATGGGGACCTCCACATTTCTTACACTTTGTTTCCCCTTTGCAGTATTTTGCTACGTGTCCTATGGCTTGGCACTTGAAGCAGCGTGGTGGGGGCACTACGTGCTCTACTACGTCATGTCTTGTGAAGCCAAGATTTACCTGGCTTGGCCTTTCAGTGTTTGGACGGAAGGTTAGGAGAACTTTGTCCGTTGTAATAGCTGCGGCTCCAGGTTGACCATGTCGGTGAAAGAGACGCCGAACAGCAATCACTCCCTCTGGCGCAAGGTAATCTAACAGCTGAGCGTCTGAGTACCACTCGGGAACACCCCTGATGAGTCCGTGATTTTGTAGATATGTTGCGGACACGGAAGCTTGAACTTCAATGCCACACAGATTCTTCACTTTTAGCAATCGTCTGACTGCTTCCTCTTCGGCGATCTCCACACGGAGACCTCCACGTGCCGTGAAATGGTGGCGCAGTAGTTTCCCACATGCTGCTGCGCTGATCGCGCTGCTGAGGTGTAATGGGTTCTGTTGCTGTAGGCGGCAAGACTCATCCTTCGGAGTCAGAAGAACTGGCACGCCAGTGCTTCTTTTGCGGCGATGTTCCACGAGGATGAAGCCATCTTCGTTGTCATCCATTAGGTCACCAGTGTCATTATCGTCGGCGATGATCGTAGATTCTGAAGAGACGCTTTCATTTTCTTCATCGTCTCTTTCTTTTCTACGTTTCACTGGGTTACGTGGGCGCATATTATCTACGGTCGATGCATCTTTCTTGCGGCAATGAGAAAGAACGTCACCGCTTGTTCCAGGCGTGTCTAAGGGAGTCATAAGTCGAAGCTGTGGAGTCCGAAAAAGCCTCCGGGTACTACCTTCGGGTTCCAGGGACCCAGCAGGCAGCCGTGAGCCCCTGGGGTGGCAGTGGTCGACAGGGAGTGGCTGATTTTCCACAAAATATCTGAAAATTCGAGGAGCGTAGAAAGCAGCGATCCTGATACTAACAGTCTTCTTCTTCTTTTCACTTCCAACCAGGCTATGGTTTTGCTCCGGTAACTCGTAATGTCCATTGCGGTACCTCGTAAGGTGAAGCGGAGTACCTCTTTGCTGCCGAAGCCCGACCGATTCCTCGGTGTCGCGTGTAATTAAAGCAAACTCTGCTGTACTTTTTTTTTTCTTTTTGCCTGCGCGAGGTTTCGAGACGTGCGCTTTCCTTGCTCAATAGACTATTTTAAAGAAGTGCCGCCTTCCAGGCGCTGCTCATAGACCTCCACAATTTGGGCATCCACTTGGAGCATTCATTGTACAATAAGTGCTGCGTCAGCATTTGGCGCGGATTCGGGTCTATGTATATTGGACACGAATGCTACGTCAACACTCGGCGAGCGTTGTTTGAGATATGTCGACTGGCGGTGATGCTTGATAGACTTTTGAAAAGAGTTTATAAATGCATTTAGATGCATTTACATGCCTCGAACAGACAAGGCTGAAAATTAGAACGCCCTCTTGTTTTTCTTTTGATTGCAGTGCATCCGTCCCACCGAAGACAGACTTCAGATGATCAACTACATCACGAAGGTACCGCTGCAACTTCTGGTAAAAGCAAATTTCTTCACGTGATTTTACCTACTGTCGTAGAGTTTTTTTTGTTTTGTTTTTCATGTCGTTGTAAAAGAAAATAATGTGTCTATGTTTCCGTCCAGTATTTCCTATCGGGTAGACGAAAAAAGTGAAAGACCTTTACAAATCTCTGTAATGTGGACTTAGGGCGCAGCTCTTGGGGTATTTTGATTTTCTGATATACCGTGATGGGAGGGTATGCAGGAGGAGGGGGGAAGGTATGGAGAAGGAGGAGGGGGAGGGGGAGGGGTTATGGAGGAGGGGGAGGAGGAGGAAGGGAGGGGCCTCCATACCCTCCTTTCCTCCCCTCCTTCTCCTCCCCCCATCCTTGAATGTCACGTGCAAGGCTATACTCCTTCAATTGGTTGTCGCGCTTCACACGAAGGACGGGTGTTTCGGCGACTCTTGACATAAGCATACGTAAGCTCCCGCAAGATAACGTAACGTAAGCAGACGGGACTGTGTGAACCGGCATTTCTCCCGTCGGCGGCTATAAATGTAACCCCTAAAATATCCGTCGTCAATTGCGAACTAAATTGGTTTGGCTGGATGTCCCTTTTAGCATCTAGATCACCTCACTCGCGTTTCTGCACGAATCATACTTATCTATTCAAAAGCCACTGAGGAAGCAACGCTACAGAGTAAAGACACTGGAGCCATCTCTGGTGCCTGAACTCATTGTTGCCATGCAGTTCTCTGAAGCCTTATCTAAAATCTCAGAAAACGCCCTTCCCTCCTCCAGGAATGATAAAACATCCCGCGACAGAGCAAAACGATACCGCCTGAGTTTCCTGGCGCCGTATGTCTATAGCCGTTTTACGTTTCCTTTCGTTCTCAGTCATGTGAGTTCCGCATCTGTTATGTGGAACTAAAAAATAATGAAACATCTCAACCTGGATTATGCTAGAAAATGTAGGTGAGGCGAACAAGAATGTCTGACAATCCGGCATTTTCCGTGAACACTTTCCAGTGGCGCGGAATGATGAAAACGATATTTTAACGCGTGCCAGTAGCCGCGACATTCAAGATGGCTGCGCCCTTGTGGTAAAGGTTTTCGGGCTCAGGAAGTCGCAGTTTTGGATGATAACACCGACGACATTCAAGATGGCTGCGCCCTTGTGGTAAAGGTGTTTGGGCTCAGGAAGTCGCAGTTTTAGATGATAACGATCACCGATTGCGCCCGCTTTGCTCGCAGCACCAAGATGGCGGCACATTCATTGGCAATGTTTTTTTTTTTTGTTTTTTTTCTTGCAGACATTTGGATTCGCAATCAGCTACGGTACCATCACGACAGTCGTGCTGGGCGTGCTCGTCGCGTTCACTTCTCGTCTCATCATCGTCGAAATTCAGGGTCACTAAAGGACTTTTTCGACGAACTCCTTCTGACCCAGGCGGTACAGATGTACGTCTACAGGCCGTCCATGGAACGTTAGGACATCCTGGAGATGTTCAGAAAGCACTGTGTGTGGCCAGGACACCAACGTTGTCAATGTATACATCGTGTGGCAGGCTTGAACAACCGTGCAGTATGGTGTCCCGGTCGTTCTAACCTATATAGGAAGACCAGCAGCAGCAACAATATAAAAGTCTTATAGTGCATAGCCACTAAAAGGGCCACGCTTGAGATTAACGACAACTTAGTCACTTAGTCAATGCTCGTTATCTGAAACTTGATGGGAAATCGCCGGAAACGCTTTTCCATCCTCCGGAAATGTTGCAATAGTCCCAGACGAAGAACAAGAATACCGCCCGAGTTTCCTGGGATCCGATTTTGGTCACTGTAAGAGCGAGAGCGAGATCCAATTTGTCTCTCGCGAAACGAGCGAAGATAACATTCATAGACGCTTTGTCGTCTGCTAAAACGAGCGAAGAACGCGGTTAGTCTGCAACGGAGCGACAGTCGCGCACTGAAATAAAGCAAGAAAACGCCGTACGTCGTCTGCTAACAGATCGGGAAAAAGTATATCGTCTGCTACGAATCGAGAGCCACGGCGAAGTGAGGTCGGACGCGGGCTGAAATGGGGATCGTCTGCTGTTTCACGTTAGAGGCCGTTGACAATACCCGCGCTCCTTTTGCAAACCTCAAGTTGCTCCGGTTCCGTATAGAAGCTCACATTGACCGGCAGATGAGAAAGTACTAAGGACAAGCACGTCAAAGGCCGCGAGACCTCTCTTGCTATTTGCATGTTGGTGAGACGGTCTCACTTCACGTTTGCCCGATTGTGAACCTGCAAATTAATCAGAAATATCTTATTGGTTGACTACTCGCAAGCTGCGCCGCCACGTTCAATCAGCGGCCTAGAACGCTGTCGCTGTCTCCTTGACCAAAATCGGACTCCGGACGATGTATCTAAAGCCGAGGGAGCCGTGTTTTCGAATCGCAACTATAGCCAGTTGCGCCTGGCCTGCTCTGGCAACAAAATGGCGGCGCGCCCGTAATACAGTAAGAATGGAGTATCGGTACTCTACTTGATTTAGTGGCTCCAGGCGGTACCTCACTGGACGCCGTTTTTGAGCGCGTCGTGTAGAGCGTAACCTCAAAACAAGCCTTCATTTTTTGTCTGCCAAGTGCGAAGGCCTTGAGGGTGTGGATTGCACGTTTCAGAAGCCATCTGGTCTGACTCGGACGAAATTAAATCAGTCGGTCTTATTAAAACCAATGTGCTATTCACTGGTTAGGCTATAGCTTTGGCACAGCTCACTTTCAGGTTGTCAAATATATTTGATAAATAATTCAGTTTCATATCGAGCAAGGTAGTCCTGTATGCTGGCTTTCAGCCCGCGCTTGGTAACAACGGACTCGACTATCGCAGCCAGTGAATACCACTTTTGAGACGTAGTTGCGACGGTATATGAAAGGTTCAGGCATAATCGTGTAAGAAAAAAATATGCATGTCTTTAAGAACATACTGCAGACGTATCTGAGAAAATGATCGCATATGTCGACGAAGATGATAATGTGGGGAGTATTCACTGGGCAGTCATAGCAGAGCTCGCTGCTGCTTACTTACCACCGGGGAACAGAGAGAGGGGAAAGATGCTTTTGTACGAATTTTGAGTGGCAAATTAATCTTATATAATCTTCTAGAGGGAGAATAGTGACGTCTGGAAAAAACCTGGGACATACAAAGGAGAGCCCCGGTGATAAGAGAATTTCTCCTTCCCCTCTTCTCTTGCGGTTGCCCGAGAGCTGGCAGTAAACCCTTCCCGGGCATGCGGTGTGAGCAGTTACCTCAAATATGGCGTCCAATGAATACCCCCCCCTTCCTTCTTTGTTATTGTGAATACGTAAATAAAAAGTATGTGGGAATACGATCACATATTGAACCTGGTTTGCTCTTTTGTTACGGGGTGTATTCCAATAAAAAAATAAAGACTGTTCAAATGTTGCATCTGAGAAATTAACTTCATTTTCCCCCAATATTCAGGTAATCAGTGTTTGAAAACCGCATCGGTGTATATCTAAAATGCCTACCGTCATCAAGTTAAAACACACAATTTTTTTCATATGTTTTGAAGCCAATACTGTTGGGAAATATCAACGGTGCATATAAAAGATTTATACCTCTGTTTCACATCTACTAGAAAGCCTTCAACAGAAATAACTCCTTGTCGAGTCAGCTCGTGATCTCGACTCTCTGCGTGCCATCGGCGTGCTGGTTCGCTCGTTTTTTTTTTTTTTTAGTCAAATAAAACTACCCCCCCCACCCAAAAAAAACAACAAAAAACAAAAAAAAAACAACAACAATAACATTCAGGCTATCAGCGTGCTAAATTATAATTGCTTATCCTAATGGTGTAGTCGCACGGCCGAGTTTTGCTCCGAGGAGTCGATTGAACATAATCGAGTTTTGAGGTCACGTGCGCCATGTCACGATGCTCGCCAATCCCCCGAGCCCGCGGAGAATCTGCGACCAGCTTCGGAATATCCAACGTCCCGTCGGAGTGACCGCTCCCTGTACTTTTAGGGAAGGATTATAGGCAGAGCCAGCAGCATCGAGCTGTGGGGCGCCTTTCTTAATTCATTTTCTCTTTTTCTGCCCTTTGTTCGATGAGTCCTCGAAGGCTGCAAACACGTTCACAAACAGAAAGACTCCGCCGACTCAACTTGGTGCGACTCCGTCGTGTGAATGCTGGGTCGGATTTCTGCACCACCCCTCCTTCTCGCAGATCTACCCTATTGAAAATTACATCAAGATACGTAATTTGGGACCCTGACTGCCAGTCAGCAGCCTTGGTGGAACGTGATGGACCATCAGACGTCATCTGATGGTCCATCAGATGACGTCTGACTGCCACTGCCAAGGGAATTTCATCAACAAGGGCAGCATTTATATAAGAGTAAAGCTATACGCACTCATAAATATCGCCAAATGCCTCGATAAAACAAAATGTTGAAGAAAAAAAAAAAAAGCAGAACTACTGGGGATCGAACCCGCGACCACTTTAACACCTTAACCCCTATGCTATGCCATCGCTTTGGAAACTCGATTTGACCATTCGTTTTATACGAGATGCTTCGGCTGCAAATGCAGTTAATCCTTCAGCATGTTATGCAAAGCACTCGACATCATTCGCCGTACTTCAGTTCTACTCACCTGCCATGTAGAGTACTTTCGCGTCGTAGAACGATCCTTTTGTTCGCGCGTCTCCGGCCCAGTAGACCTGGTACACCTTGTCGTTTTCAACTACACCGCTAAAGTCCCTTACATCGTCGGAACTCACAACAGGCTGGGTCTTGTCAAGTAGAAATTCTACTAAAACATAAGACATTGTAGAGCCCGGGCAGGATCGACAGGTTGGTGCAAGCGGGCAAACAAAACGAGTCGAGAGCGATCGTTCATGAAAGCTCGGCGAAGCCTCTACGGGCGAAGCGAAATGGCGTGTTCGGTATGGTGGCCATATGTTCGGGCGTTTCGCCGGGCTTCTGTTTAAGGTTGTCGGTCGGCTGCGTGTCATAACGTCAGCGGTTTTATGGGCTCACGTTTATGGGCTCTTGTGCATAGATTATTTTTCGTATTCATAGATTTGACGAAATAGTGCTATCCGAACGAACTTTACGTCCTTTGACCGTACGTCTGTCTGCACGTCAAAGCTTTTTGACGTACAGTCAAGACAATCGATGTACAATCAGAATCGCCAACAAGACTTCTTGATGGCATTTCGCGGCGGCCGACTGCCACCAGGGAACCATCAGAAAGCCGACAAGCGGAGTCTGACTGGAGTTTGACTGTCGGTCAGAGTAACTTGTTGGCCAATCAGACATGCTTGACGTACAGTCAAGCACAGTCAGCGGTCCACTAGAAAACATTGACTGCCAAACAGGGTTACATTGATGGATTTTTCCTTCGGGTATGACGTACACCTCCGGAGTTAAGGAACTGTTGTACGAATGCACCATAAAGCACCCACCTTCATCGGTTAAGAATCTAGCTTTGTGCCTTAATTTTTCCAGCCATCAGTGTTGAAAAGCGTCATCGGTGAAAACTTAGAACAGCCACTGTCATCAGCTAAATAACCTGGCTTTCTTCCAAAAGTTTATCCATCGGTGTACTCTCGGAGCCAACGCCAGGCAGAGCCGTATATGTGGAGAGTTTGGTCAGTCTATGATCTCGCCGCCGTAACGCGCTCCTCCCAAGTGAGCCAATCAGCACGCGGCGTAGAGCGAAAGGCATGAGCGCATGCGCGTGAACTCCCGGCTGCTCCCACCTGAGTGGGGAGGGCCGCCATCTTCGATCATTCTCCCGGCGGAATGCATGGGATCGGCATCTAAATCTCGATCACTGCCTTTCATATCGCTGGCTCTGGCAAGAAAACGACATTCTGTTATTCCTCGGTGGGTTAAAAAGCTAATAAATGAAGATTTTTCGTCGTATAGCCACAAACTTTTACTCAGGCGAAAAAGAAGTCGGCCCGTAGCAGACGACGCGTAGCCTCAGCAGTGCTCTCTCCGACCGCTCTCCGACAGCGTTGCTAAAAAATGGCGGTCGTCTCCTCTCTGCTCCCTTCTTTCTCTCTTGCTCCTTCGGCGCTCTCCTCCCTTTCATTTACTTTTCTCCTCTCCGGCGCCTTCGTCGCCACACCCACTGGCCAAACTCTCCCAATATACGGCTCTGACGCCTGGATCCCCAGAGCGCCACCTAGCTGGCGTCGGCATCACCGCCGGCCGGCGCATCTTGGAGCGCCTCGGCGCGACGCTAGCACGCTTCGGCGCAAAGGCGTACGCCTAGTCTTCAAGGTGATATTGCCGCGTGCATGGCCGAGAGGGAACGCATCTCCTTAGTTCTAGAAGATTGGTGCTTGCTCTTCTTACCCGGGTGTAATAGATAAGGAGCCCAGCGCGGTCTTTCCGAGTCACTCTCGCACTCTCACGCTAGCCAGCCGTCGCGCCGACGCCTCGACGCTCTACGCTACTCCCTCGAAGCTTGTTCTTTTTGTTGTTTCTCGCACGAGTTGGCCGATTCAACTTTTGTTTTCAGTTTTACAGTTGTCGACCCTTTTTCACCCGCAACAATATTCCCCGAAGGGCCAGCCTAATTGTGCAGTCATTATCCCGCACATTAAAAAGCACACATTCAGTAAAATGTTTATTGCGTCGTCGAAGACAGCTGTAAATCCCTGAGTGCGCGGCGTGCAGCAACAGCCTGCTGCTGACTGCGCTCCCGCTCAGACGACGTCGTTCACGTTGGTGAGGTGGGCGCTGGTGCGGAGTATCCACGGCACGAAGCTGGCCACTCTGGAGTACACCCCCGGGTAGCTGGGAGTGCCGCACTGCACTCCGAAGGACACCACGCCCGCCAGCTCCCAGACGGACTTGCCGTCCCGAGATGCCCGCACGGCCAGCGGACCCCCGGAGTCGTGCTGCGCGTACCAGACAGAGCTTTTAAGTCACACCGCTCATACGTCCCACAAAAAACACTGAACAAGCCTCACGCATGTTTGCTTCGTACATATATATGCTTTCAAGATGCCTGCAGACGATTTCCGCATGACCAATGAGACTGCCATACAAGGACGAAGCACACATCAGACCATGGATGTGGGAAGCTTCAAGAAGCGACATGAAGGAGGGACAGGCCCTAACTTCAGGGGGAACACGGCCCCTACGATGACAGCTCTCGCCTTTTCGTCCAATAGCGTCTCTTGGTTTTGGTCATCGTTGGGGGCGTGTCCCTTCTCACTTCTCGCTTCACCTCTGATGACCTCATGTCGTCTGTTGAAGCTTCTTACCTCCATGCCTCTGACGGTGTCTGGACTCTGCAGACTGCCTTTTGCATG